TTAACAAATTAACTAGGAAATCGATAAACTAGCATGTAAGCCTATGGACTGCCTCAGCTCTGTTTCGAATGGTGGAATGATGCATGCTCGAGTTGCCTGGCGCGGAAATCCATTACGATGCCCCGGTTTGCCTTTGTTTGCAATTGTTTTCGGAATATTGTGCAACGCTCCAGAAGGCCGCTGATTTCTGATTTACTGCAACAGAGAGCAACAAAAGGGCATGGCAAAGTATTTCATATATGTATGCATGACTACTCTTCAAGGAGTGTAGTTTTCGATCCTCGTGCCATCAATCACGCATATAGATGCATGATGGCCGAGGAGTCGAATTGCACGACTCAATATGAAATGAATGCACATGAAAATACAACAAGACCTAAACTCCATCATGGGTAATCCAGAGTGTCGGCGACCGGGAATTGAGACACGTTCCGTCACTCAGAGTACGAAACGTCCCTCGTTTCCCGTGCTTGGGCTAACTCCTATCCCAAACATAATGCAAATGAGATGGTATACACAATGCGACTAACATACAACCTAGCATACGCAATGCTATGAAATGGCATACACAATGCTCGATGCAACATGACATACACAATGCTTTAACATACAACCTAGCATACGCAATGCTATGAAATGGCATACACAATGCATAATGGACTTACACCAACATGAGTGGACCTCAGTTACACTCACATCAGTAGTCATTAGATGAAAATGAGATAGCCGAAATGCGTGCACACATGCACGCATACCGAGGACCGAACCTAAGGCATTGAATGCCACTCTACCAAAACATGGCAAGGATGAAGTATGGCATTCAAACATGTAATTTTTAGCACTGAAACATAATGCTAAATGGTCCCAAAACATGAAAATATGACACCCGATGCATGGAATAAGCCCCGAAACTCAAAACTAGTCCAATGCATTGAACCACAAGTATACAAAGGAAGCATTATTTGATCATGAAGTCTAAAGACAGAGCTAAGGCAGTCCCAAAACATGCACATTTTCAGTTTAAAGCATGGCCAAAAGATGCTAACATGATGGCCTAAAATAGCATGCAACATTGGCTAGTAAGCATGGTTTACATGGCATGTATATGAAGCAAATGAGGACTCATCAAACTAGCCAAAAACAGTGAATAAAATATGTCAAAATATGCCTAAATAATCACTGAAACGCAATCAATGCATGCAAAAATGAGGGGCTTCTTTGGAAGGCCATTTAAGGGGTTGTTAAGCACATATAAGATAGACACTTAGCATGACCAAACCAACTCTTTAAATGAGTTATGACAGCCCTAAAACTCACAAAATAGGTCTTGAAATCAGTCTAGGAAACATGCAAAGAAAGGCCCCCTCAAAAGGCCTTGAATGGAATTGTTCTACACATGCATTGTAGGTATAAAATATGATCAAAAAGGCCCCGGACAGACCTAAGGCAAACCCTAAAACCCACAAAATTGGTCCCAAAAAGTGACTTCAATGCATGCAAAATAGAGCCACTTCACAAAATTGGTCCCAAAAAGTGACTTCAATGCATGCAAAATAGAGCCACTTTGGAAGGCCCAAAAGACCCCCAAACAAGACAAGGAGAAAGGGGGTCACCCCCCTCTAATTTTGGCCTTCAAAAATGCATCAAAACCGCTAAAAATCCACTGGATTTCAGTGGCTAAGAGGCCAAACCATGGCCAATGCAAGTGCTCCAATGCATAGCCTTAATCATGAAGAGATGAAGTATGCGTAAAGGGAAGATGACCCCAAACAGAAATGGGACCTTAACAAAACTTGAAGAGGATGTCAAAAAAAAGACTTTTTTCAGTTTATAGAAAATCTCAAAAATGCTCACAAGTAAGGCTAAAACATGATGCAAAAAAGGCCCTAAAAGAGAGATAGAGGATAAGGGGAAATAAATGACCTCAAAAAGCAAAGTTCCCTTAAACAAAGTTGAAGAGGGGATCAAAATAAGACGCTTTACAGTTTGGCTCGAAGCCCAAAAATACTTGCAAATAAGGCTAACTAATCATGCAAAAAAATACAAGTTTAAGGGAAATGGACACTTACCCTTGAAGAGCTGACCTCCAGCAGCTTTTGGACCATGTTGGTGAGCTTTCAACCTCTGCAAATGACTTCCAAGGTGTTGGAATGGATGATGGGGGTGTGGTGCTAAGGGTTGTAGTGCAAATGGACCAAGAAAGTTAGGGTTTTGGAGCTTTGAGTAGTGACAATGGAGGAGGGAGGTGATAAGCCTTAAGCAATTTTGTTCAACCAGCTGATATGAAGCCAAGCCTCTCCTTTATAGAGGAGAGGCTCCAAAATATCCTAAAAGGGCCCAAGTATCCCCCATACATGTGTATGGAGGATGCACCAAATGGCTTTTAGCTGGCACAGCTGGATTACACTCAGAAAAAGCAAAAAGCAAGAAGCAGGCCGGCCAGTTCAAGTGGCCGGCTGGCCACCCCCCTGGTCGGCCGACCAGGGGTCAAAAGGGTCAACAAAAATTGCTGGTCGGCCTACCCAGAAAGGTGGCCTCCCAGATGAGTAGAATACAACTGTGTGGAGAAAAACTAGAAAAAGTGACTCAAGAGAGAGAAAAGCTAGCTTTTAAGCAAGGTTCAAAAGGGTCAAGATGAATTTCTGGCCGGCCTATCCATATTAGTGACCTCCCAGATGAGCACAACACAATGGTGGTATGAAAAGCCAGAAAATGTAGGTCAAAAGTGAGAAAAATCAGCTTTCTGTCAGAAAAACGGGCTTTTGGAGAGAGAAAATGAGAAAACTGGCTTTTCAGGAGAAAAGGTGGCCAGCCACCATCCTACCACCTCCCTAACAATGAAAATAGGGTCTCCACCAAAAATGGACCAAAACGGATGCAAAACGAAGGTTCGGGGACCAAAACGCGCGGTTCGGGGCCCCAAAAACAGGCTGTTAGGCACAGGAAGTGGCGTATGACCACGAAGGGGGTCTCTCGGGCCACAGTGTCCCTCTAAAGGGAGGAAATAAGATGTATGCCAAAAACTGGAGCAAACGGAGGTAGTTAAGCGGTCCCGAACCGAGGCACACGGCCGACGGCTCCGAAAATCGAAAACTGGGCTCCAAACGGGAAAAATGGCCTACGACCACGAAACGTAGCCTACGGCCACTGAGAGATGATCTACGAGACCTCTCCCTCCCTTCGGGAAGAGAAAACAGGACCTGATTCGCAAACCGAGGTAAAGCACAAAAGAGTCCCGAAATCCGGAGGCAAGGCTCACAGCCGAGACTCTGAAACCTCAGAACGAGCACAATATGCAACATCACCGAGCACTCAACTAGTGACGTCTGAGTCTTAAGGTCGGTCAAAAATGGGATGTCTACACCCCTTCACAAAAAATGATTGTGTCATATACGAATTGAAGATGAGAAATTCCCAATTGATCCAAGCCTACAGTGGCACCTTTTATCATACCTATCTCTATGGCCCTCTTCAATAATAGATTTAGTCCTTCAACTGCAATAATAAACAAAAAAGGAGACAAGAGGTCCCCCTGCCTTAACCCCTTTTGTAGTTAGAACTCCTTTAATTTCATTAATCTAACAAAGATTTAAAATGTTAATTAAAAATCATTAATTCCTATAGACATTGTTGTCACCTTTCTACTTATAGAAAGACTGTTTCTTCCAAGAATTTCTATGAAATTTTGAAATTTCTTTGAAGTTTGACTTAAGATCTGTTTATACAATCCCGTCATTAGAAAAGCCAAAACTTCTTCCTCCTCAATCCAATCCACAACCACCAAAGAATTGTACCGTTTGGTGCAAGTTGTTCTATCAGACCTTTTGGTGCATTTTATACTCACAATTTATGAGGGAAAATGACTTAACAAGTTGAAAATTTTTTTTTATTGAAAATGTGGAATGAAATGTTTTATGATTATATGTTTAATTTATTATCAATCAAGGGCGTCATACAAATTTACATCATAAGCAACTTGGTAAACTAAAATAAACTCGAAGGTATTATATTTTGTTTTAAAATAATAATAATAAAAAAAAGAAATGTGCTCAGGAGAAGAAGTTGAGTTTAGGATAGAAATTGTGTAGCATCACCCCTAAAGTTATTACCCTTCTTTATTTAGGCCTCTTTTGGTAAGAGGCTATTTTAGCCAATTAGCCAAAAAGTTACTAAATTAACCAAAAAGCCAATAACCCATACCAAAAAGTCAAAGATTCTCTTTTCTCTCTACTTTTTGCACATCTTTTCGTAATTAGTCAAAAAGTCATCCCAAACATACAAGTTTTTTTTATCTACCTTTTTAGCCAAATAGCCAAAAAGTTACTAAATTAGCATGTTCCCAAACGAGGCCTTAGTTGATAAGAAATATATTATTCTAACCAACTAGGCGTATCTTAATTGATTATCTTGATTTTCTTAAGGATTTAGTATCTAAAAGGAGAGGTAATGGGTTCAACTTTCCTTAGGGGGAGTTGAATTAAGGGGTCGAACACTTAGTACTTTGCAAAGCAACTTGGTAAACTAAAATAAACTCGAAGGTATTATATTTTGTTTTAAAATAATAATAATAAAAAAAAGAAATGTGCTCAGGAGAAGAAGTTGAGTTTAGGATAGAAATTGTGTAGCATCACCCCTAAAGTTATTACCCTTCTTTATTTAGTTGATAAGAAATATATTATTCTAACCAACTAGGCGTATCTTAATTGATTATCTTGATTTTCTTAAGGATTTAGTCTCTAAAAGGAGAGGTAATGGGTTCAACTTTCCTTAGGGGGAGCTGAATTAAGGGGTCGAACACTTGGTACTTTGCAAAGATTAGATAGACTAACTCCTATAAGTGCTAATCTAACAATTAACAACTGATTTTCAACGATCAATATATATATATTATTCTACTTAATCATCATGGCCTTAAGATACCACTTGTCTACATAAATCATGTGACAGTTCAGGGAGAGAGATTATCAAAGAAAGCTTTGATTTATTGAATTACAAGGTGGTAAAACAATAAGGTAAGATGAACATAATAATATGAAACTATAACCCCAAGTGAACTTTGCAAGAATTTTCTTTGTACATTTCTATAATCAAATATATAGCTCTACAATATATAAATGGTTGCAATAGTGCACCACCTCCCTTGTATAATCCCTATCATTTACCTAAAAACTACTATAACATTGTTAAGCCCAAGCCAATCCCAATACTCACCAAAGAAAATGACTATGCAGTTAAAACGAAAATTATTCACCGTAGTTTGTAACATTGTCACAAACACATCACAACTCTCCATTTTTGTGTCTCACGAATGTCACAAACCGCAGTGAATAAATACTTAGAGTTAAAGAAATTAAGCACCAACCTTATTCCCACCCCCTTCATCTCTACATTGTCCATCTTAACTTATTTTTTACTATTACACAACAACCAAACAAGTCCTTGTCATTATTGCCTTGCCCTAGTAACTTGTCCTTCATGCTATGTCCTTTCAAGTACTTTTCCTTTGCTTGAATTGGTGGGTAAATGAATAAATGAAGGCCCATCACCTTGAAGAACCAAATTAGGGATTAACTGAGGTGAGCTTCCTCTATTTTGGCTTCCAATGTCGTAGGAGATCAATGGAGGATTATTATAGTACTCAACATAGGGCGTGTTCTTAATTATAGGACTATCATCGTCATGCCCAATCCGAGTCCTTGATTTTTTCTTAAGTGAATCCTTAACACTTGATCCACATTGTCTAGGCTGCGTTTGATAGAAAACCTTTGAAACAACTAATTCACCATCTTTTTCTTCCTCGTTGTTGCCAAGGTGGTACTGATGCATCACCCAGTTGGTTTTCTCGGGCTTTCTTTGCCTTCCATAGTTGGTGTAGAGCACTAATATCTTTTTGAACCCTTTCACTGCCCCTCCAAGAAAGACCGGCCTAGTCTTGCCTGTTTTGTGCCACCTTGTTTCTCCCCCATCATCATCTGTGTGCACCTTTCTTCGCTTCCTAGTCCCGGTTGTGTATGCCTTTGAAGGACGATGAAAGAAGTGGCGGATTTGGCCGTCTTTGCTTACACCTGCATGACCAGAGTGAGCATAGGAAGGAAATCATTTCGCATAGTAAGTGAAAATTATAACGATAAATAAGGAGGAATTTGAGAATAAATCGAGATTGTGAAATTGAGAAATATGTTACATAAATGTTATATTGTGCAAAAAATTGTTATGATTTTGTATTTGTTAGTGAAGTAAACTTGCATACAACTTACAAGAGAAGTTTTGTGGGTTAAGATAGACTTAAAAAGTAGCAAAAACAATGAATGACCTATGATCTGATCATCCTGAATATATATAGTACTTTTATGCTTAATGACTTTCTCCACAATAATATATTTCCTGAAAATTCATAGTATACTTGAGATTTTTGGATCCACAAAAGGATAATTAGGTTGGAAGCAATTGTCAAGTTGAGTGAGCATTGAAATAATTTGCTTGCATGCCCTTACTTACAAGGTTTGCATTCTTTGTACCTTTTTTCAATATTAATTTTAGTAAATCTAGTTAAGTGGTCGTAATTCTACAACATCATGCATGTTACATTATTCCTAATTATTTCTTATGCTTGTTACATTATTTCTACACTGCTGAGAGCACTTCTAAAATGAAAATGTTATGTACCCCAAAAAAATATTTTGGGAAGTACAGAATTTCAAATTTAATGCAGATTTAAAGTTTTTTTTTTTTTTTTTGTTATCAACCAAAAACTTTATTGATTGAAGAAAACCTTACAAGAAAGGAAATAAGACATCAATAAAGGGGAAAGAAAAGAGGGGGGAGGAGGGAGGAATGATGCAAAGCACCAAACCAGGTACCTGTTGGTGAGCGACCAACAGATACATTTCAATTTGATCATACTCAAAACAAATTTGATCTACATTTCAACTTCTAGGTTTTTTTATTTTATTTTTTCCTTTGGTATGTAGCATTAATGCTTTGATTCTAAAACTAAGGCTATTGTTTGGTTCACAGAAATGAATGCTGAAATAGAATAGTTATTTTATTAGAATAAGTTTAGTTCAGCAAAGAGAATTGAAGGAAAATATTTAGAGAGTACATTCTAAATGGAATCACTATTCATCAATTTAAGAAAATTGTTGTTTTATTGGGAAGTTACGGAAGAAATATTTCATTTTTGTTCAAAATCACTCAAGTAAATCAAAAGCTAATGTACAACAATAGCATCTAATTTGATTATTGAGGGGGGAAATAGTACACCTTGTCATTCTCCATTCCAATGATTCTACAAAAATAATAAAAAATTAAAGCAAATTGTACTCGTATAGGATTGCTCTTCCAGAATTGTATTAAATAGAGCCTTTCACTTAAGGCCATTCTAGATTTTGTCATGCCTCAGTGAATTTATTCAAAAAAAAAAAAAAAAGGCAATGCAGTGGACACACTACTAGTCAAGTTCATACTTGGGAATAAATCCAATCATCTTCCGTTGGTTTTTAATGAGGTACTAATAAAGCACATGTTAAGCAGAGACAAGAATGAGGATTATATACTAAAGCAAACTATATGCTATTATTTGAACTTTATGGTATATGAGATTATCAAAACTTTATGGTATGAGGCTAAATAAAGAGTCATGGACAAAAATTATGTTGTCACTTGTTAGCGCACTGATGAAATATGTATTAGTCTCTTAACTACCCAAAGCAATCATTTTAACAGTCATAACCAACTTACCACTACAACACTAATCACCTTTTTACGCCATTTTTAAGACTTGTTTGTCAATTATATATATATATATATATTTTGAATAGCAAAAATAACACTTTATTGAATTAGAACCAAGGAAAAAATCCTTACATCTTATATCAATAAAGATAAATATAACCAAAAGCTGTGCTAATAACGTTATGGTGAACCTTACTCATCCCAACCAGGTTGGCACAAGAAAGCCATCCAATCAAGTGTTAGCACTAGCCAAAAGCTAGTTGGTGAGAAACCAACCAGTAGAAAACCAAAGCAGGGCAACACAACATATATTTTATATTGACTTTTAGTCAAAAAGTCAATATAAATTGTCACATCACTCTCTTTATTGTTTTACATATCTTTTCAAAAAAAAAAAGTCAAAAAATTATTAAAATATCATGTTCCCAAACAAGACTTTAGTATATCACTTTACGTGTCAACATATTATTAATATAATAGGTTTCACCATTTATGTTTATCTTCAATACAGTGCTAGTACATGAAATGGTACACTAAAAGTAGAATAAAATAGTGGTTAATGTAGCATTACTCTTCTCAAAAACCATCCTCAATTGTATGTTACTTTTTGTTGTCAAATTATAGCATTATCAAGTCTTAAAAGGGAAAAAAAAAAAAAATGGGCGGCCATGTAGAAAATTTGACACAAGATTTAACAATTTGATAAATCTTTCTTTCTACCTATCTTATTATGCAACCCAAATAATATAGCTTATCAATTGGTACTTTGTGAGTAAAAATAAAAGAAGTGATAAATTACATTTGTATCTCTTTTTCTTGTGTTAATTTGATTTTTATAGTTTTAATTATATCAAATTTATCACATTTTGTATGTGTTTTATCAATAAAGTTTTCTTTGCCAATAAAAAAAAAATTACCAATACACTTTTCACATTGTGTTTTGAAAAATAGACTGAAATCAACGGATGGATTTATCTTTGATTTCTATTTAATTTCTTAAGGAATGTTATTAATTTGACTAAATTGACACAACAAGAAAATTTTAAAGACAAAATTAATATAATTAAAATTATAAAAATTAAATTAATACATGAGACAAATTATAGAACCAACAACAAAATTTTGATTAGAAGAAATGACATTTTCCTTAGAAGAAATGACATTTATATAATTAAGACATGATTACATAACATGGCACAAGAGGTGCTATCAATTTCAATTTTTTGAGGCCACACCGCGGACTTTATTCGAAATTTGTCCGATCCACGTGAAGGAGGCGCTTTACATGAGTTTCAAAATTAATCGAGATATGTATAAACTGATTTGGACACTCGGTCGTAATATATATATATATAACATGGCACAAGTCTTCTCATTGTACCTAGTGTGTCCTACGCAAATTATCAACCCCTACTTCCAACTTTTTGCTCTCAGTCTTCAGAAAAGTTCAAGAAAAGAAGATTGGGTAGGACATTAAATCATAACACTAGTATATATGAGCTAATCATTCTCATATCTCTTTTTATCCAATTCATATCAATGATTTGAGTCCTTTGCCTATTCAAGAACCTATTCTAGTGAAAGTTGCCATGTACGTATGTAGTAAAATTGTACCCTCAACACAATAGATCTAAACAATCATGAACAACACACACACACACACACACACACACACATATATACATAATTCATGATTAGTTGAAGATGATGATCATCACCTGGTAGCTTCTCTGGGTGTGTGTAGCAAATTCCATTTTCACCCTCAAGGGTAGGAATAAATTCATCAATTAAAGGATGAAGCTTATGTGTATCAGACAACACTTTGGCCTCTAAATGGTCAAGAATTTCTTGATCTGATGGATCAAACTTCACTCCAGCAGGTAAGCCCGGCAAATCTTGAATTCCCGCCTAATTTAAATTTTTACTGAGAATTTATTAACTTAATTAAAAAATATACATGTATGTGTGCGTAACAATAAACACATCAGGGTTTTAAATATATATATATATATATGTATGACTATATTACTTATACTGAAACGTACCCTCAAAGTTATTGAAAATTGTAAAGTAAACCTAACAAATTGTGAGAAATAATTAAGAAGAAGAAAATGATATAATTAATACCTGATCTTGTAATTCTATGTTATGGCCACATGACGGGCATGTTATGATAGTATTTTCATCGGTTTTCGCATCGATCGCAAGATTTTCTTTAGAAGAAGTTGTTGAAATTATTTGGGAGTCATTGCACCATGTCATGATCTCTCTTGTTTTGCTCTTATGCCCATCCCAAACTGAGTTTCTCGCTCCTGTTCCCTCCACCTCTCCAAGCTGAACAAACCAAAAAAAAAAAAAAAAAAAAAAAAAAAAAAAAAAACAAACAAACAAAACAAAAGAAAACTTAAACAAAATAGAAAAAAAAAATTAAAAAAGCAAAATTCTCTCTTTTAAAGCTAAGTATTTGGTTAACCAAATCTTCTGTTCTTGTTCTTGATGTTTGGGAAGGAATTGAATTCTCCACTTTTTGTTCTCCCTTGTCTGGAATGAACTGTGTCTTGCAAAGTTTTCTATAGAGAGAGAGAGAGAGAGATGAGAGGGATGAGAGAATTTCTTATATCTTTTGAAAGAAGAGGAAAAAGAATTTATTATCTATTAAAATAATAGGTTGCTTGCAAGTTAAGGTTTTGTTTGTGTGTGTATCTGTCTACACACACATCACACATGTAAAAGAATAAATGCAGTTTTTTTTTGGTTGCTTTTTGGGTTATAATCTGATTCTGTCTGTATATGCAAAACTGTTCAAAATAAAGTTTTAATAAACTTACCAAAGAAAAAAATTATGAAAAAAAAGAAAGAAAGGGTAGAGTGGAGATGGGGCAACCTGATTCTTTTAGGACGTTTCACCTCTTTAGAGAGAGAGAGAGAGAGAGAATGGGCTTTAGCTCTAGTGTCAATCGAGTGTTCTTAAAGCTATATATGTGAAACTATACACATACATATATAACAAAAATGAAAGTTACAAACCAAAATTTTGCACTACCAACCTGTATATATATTTTTACTAATCCATTTCTTTACGTAGACTTCTCATGTCAAGCAAAGAATCCCTATCACTCTCTCTCTCTCTCTCCATATATATATATAAGTATATACCTTCATTGATATCAATACATTCTTGAGGAATAATATATAACATTAAAAATTTAGACTCTTTTGTGAAATGAACAAAATTTTGTTCGAGCTAGTGTTTGCCTCATTATATTCTCATTCGAGATGACTTCATTATATAACTAACCAAATTATAACACATTTTGAAACTCATCACTATATATGTTTGGTTTAATTTTTTAATTTGATTTTTTAAATGTTTAAAAAAAATAAAAATTATTTTGACGAAAATAAATACATAAAAGATAGTTTTGATAAAAAAAAAAATTATATGTTTTTTTTATTAGAAAAAAAAGACTTTATTGATGAGATCTAAATTCATTACATCAGAATAAACATCAATAGAGAGGGAGGCCAAAGCAAATTATGAGTATTTTTTTTTTTCATTTGTTTCACCTAACCTAACTAGATTTTGGTTTTTTGAAGTTTTGTAAAAAATAAATTTTAAAAACAAAACCAAATAATGCAAACTTCACTCAAAAATTTATTATAAAAAAATAATAATTATTATTATTTTTAGGGCAAATTACCTACACCTCCCTTGACATTTAATGAAATTACAGATTTTTTCCTAAAGTTTCAAAAATTACATCACGCCCCATCGCAATTAACGCCGTTAACAGATATTATAAATTGACCAAAATGCCCTTTTGACAAATAAGGGCAAATTACCTATATCCCCTTGAGGTTTAATTAAATTACAGATTCCCTCCTGAGATTTACCTAATTTACAGATTCCCCCTGAGGTTTAGCTAACTTATCATTTTTAAATAAGTTATGAAATGCAAAATTAAAATGGAAAAACACTTATCACACTACAAAAAATTAAGATTTTAGAGATCAAAATTTAAAGAAAAATTATTTTTAGGGAACCGAATATTTTTGTTGCGAAAAGTATCATTTTATTTTTAGCAACGAAAATTAAACATTAGTGATTAATTATTATCTTTTTGGTATCAAATTTTTTGTTTCAAAAAATAAACTATTTTGAGATCAAATTATTTTGTTCCTAAAAGTCTTTTTTTTTTTTTTTTTTATCAACCAAAAAAACTTTATTGATTAGAAAAAACCTTACAACAAAGGTAGAAACACAACAATAAAGGAGGCAGTGGGGGAATGATGCAAAAGCCATCATAGTGAAACAGTCCAATCCCAACTAGGTTGACACTAAGTCGCTTACACAATCATATGACAGCACCAAACCAAGAATCTGTTGGTAAGGAACCAACAGAGACACAGCAACACTACAACAGATCAATCACAAAACAACAACTAACAAGATACAGAGGCAACAAAAGCAAAACAGCACAGGTACACAAAAGTAAAACCCATCAGCTATCAAAATGCACTAGACACAAATACTAAAGGCAAAAATGCACCAGATTAGCAGATTAGCATACTGTTGACTTGCTAGCAAAAGTACACCAGATTAATAGAGCAGCAGTAGGCACCAGAGCAGCAATATGCAGCACAGATATACCAGATTAGCAGAAGCACCAAACCAAACACTAATGTAACAGTAGATACACTAATGTAACCATCACACAGGTACAGAGAGGCACCAGATTAGCAGATTAATATACTGTTGACTTGTTAGCAAAAATACACCAGATTAACAAAGTAATAGAGCAGCATACAAATGAATCCGATTAACATAACAGCAGTATACAGAGGCACCAGATTAACAGAACAGCAGTAAGCACCAGAGTAATAGTATGCAATACAGATATACCAGATTAGCATAAGTACCAAACAAAGCACTAATGTAACAGTAGATACACCAATGTAATGGCATATCAGGACATATATACAGTAGAACAGAGCACAGGTACACCAGAGCAGCTCACAGATACAGAGGCAAAACACACTTAACAGCAGAACAAAAACTGACTAAGGTTATGAACAATATCATGCCTTGAGTAAGAAAAACTTAAGAGGTTGGACTTGGCCCACAAAGCTACTCTCCATTTCACATTAGCACACAAATCCTTTAGATTAGGTTGACACTCATTAAAAATACAATCATTCTTGATTTTCCAAATAGGCCATAACATAGCCAATGGCATATAGTCTTTTTGTATTTAAAACCCATCCACCAGTGTAACAAAACCACAACTGAAGCAGGTGTTGCCCATTGCAAATCCCACCAGATTAGCAATTCAGTCCAGGACTCCCAAATGCCACTGCACAGTAGAAAATATATGATTCACAGATTCAGGTTCAGCTTTACAAAAGGGGCAGACATTATTTTTTTTTTTTGATCGGCAAAAAAAAATTTTATTGATGAAATAAACAAGTACAAGGCACAAGACAAATTACATCAACAAAGGAAAGGGAAGTGCAAAAGTATCACAATGAGCTAAATGATCCCAACTAGGTTGGCACCACAAAACTCGTCCTATCATTTGCTAGCACCCCAAAGTTAGTGAGAGACCAACGAAAAAAGTACAGACCAGAGCAACATCTGAGGTAAAACAACCAACCAACCAATGCTAGCACCTAAGCATAGCAGACCAACATACTACATCATCTAATGTGGACACCAGAGAGCACCAATTCAGATCAAAATGCAGAACTGAAACACAGCCCAGAATCAACCTCATTTTGAAGTCCTTGAGCTTATTATGCTAGCATAATCTCCATCCATAGATAGAAGCTCCCAACCTCAAGCAGCCTAGCCAAGCTTTACCTTTCGGCAAATTGATGAGCACTCCAGGCATCATGCAGCTTTAATCACAGAATCAGCATAGCAGAATTAGCAAATTGATGAGCACTCCAGGCTGGTCTGGTTTAAATTGACCACAGAATCAGCAGCAGTAGCTTAGTGCACTCAACTTGAGCATCACCTGATGAAGAACTGTAGACGCGCCCGCGGAGGGGGGCCTTATGCTACTACAGTTCGGACTCGCGATTTTGTTGTCGCGGTTCTTAATCTGAACCAAGAGTCCAAATCTGGCAAATCGTTTTGAGAAACAGATTTTTGAAAAAGTAGTGCCAAACATGGCTGCTTTGCCAGATACAGAGTCGCCACCTAAATATTTTTAATGGGAAATTTAGGAAACCCTGACTCGGTGCCAAAGGCCACATGTCCGTCATCACCGGAGTTGTCTCAGCTCGGGAGCTTGGGTACGATCGGGGAAGGTCAGCTATGAGCACCCCCTTTCGCCCAGTTCAAAGACCGGCCTCTACTAACCATGATATCCGATTTTGAAAACATTACGTGTTCTTATTCCATTTATTAGCCTTGAATTACTATGTTATGCGCCCAACAAACAAGTATAGACTAGATTGCCTAATTTGGAAATAAGCATTGCATATCCGTTTGTTTTGAAAAACGCTTTGGAATTTGCTACTCGCAAGTAGGCTTAAAACACGGATTTCAACGAGTTTTCCCAACTCAAACAACCCAACCTTCACCCACAGGCATTCAAACAGTTTATCTCACATAAGCACTTAGCCACATGATAAGCATACTATCATGGCAGCATTCACACGCATGTGGTATGCTAAAGCATAAATACTTATATCGTACTCCATGCCAAAACAACAAACTAGTTAGCAAAAATGCGTGTCCTAGTTCATGTCAATTCGACTAATGCAACACATACAGGATGCAACTAGAATAGGCTCGGCTAATCTATGGATGACATGTGAAAATGCGCAACTATCACATATTCATTTTTGAATTGAAGTACAGATGCAGTTAGCGTGATGTACCGAGCCTAATGTATGTAATACGAATGTATGGATGTACGCATGCATAGCATAAGGTATGCTAAATTAAACGTTCCCTAATACTAACCATCAAAGCAGGTAAGTAAAAGGGAAGAAAGAAGTGGGGATTGGAAGACATACACACCACCCACACACACTTATTATAGATTTGCCCTCACTCGGAGGGACCGAATAAATATTACAAATTAATTAACAACGCGAGCTAATTAAATATTACAAATTGTCTAATCAACTAAGCAAATTTAATTAAACTAAGAAAACAGTAAATCGCCTCGGGAAATGCGCCGCCATGCATGAGTTGCCTCTGTTTTCCTTCCTTCACTCCTCTGGAGGTTGCCAAAACCTCAGGACTGCTTCCTTAGACAATGGGGATCATCACCGGCTGAATGAAACTTCCAC